TAAAATCCATAATGCTATGGTTTATGGCTTATTACTTTATTAGTCATTTATTCTGTTTAAAATAAATTTTCACCTTTCGAACTATCACACAGGCAACTTTTACCGTATACGTAGTGCTTTCTCATACGGTGCCCGTAAACTGGCACGGATAATCTGCCAGCCTGTAAATTCTATCACCAACGAGCTTCATTTGTTCTTCTCAAACACTTTAGGAAGGCACGGAGGCTCATACAGACCCGAAATTGACTTTCTTGACATCTCTACTCGAAATTTTCGTCAAGATATACCAAAACAGACTGAACAAACCTCAAACATAAATATATCTGAAAATGCACTCGGCTTCCCTTACCATGCGCCTCACTTGTATTTTCCTAAGAAGGATCAAAATCCAGACGAGCCTTATAAACATGAAAAGAAATATATTTATCCTTCGAAACCCGACGAAAATCGGGCTCCTGAATCAAATGAGGGCTCGTCTGATGATCTCAGCGGGGATTTCGAGGGTTACATGCGCTGCCTTAATTACGGCAAGTGGTGGTATGAGCAGGGCTTAAATGTCGTGCGTTCTTTGCCTCTGCCTCCTTTGTCGGGCCCTCCTTTTCCGAGTAATGGCCCGTTATCGCACTTTAGGCCAAATGGATTTTCCTATGGGCATCATCCTAATGGGCTCCACCTTGGCCCAGGCCCAGCTATGTACAACGTGCAACCCGTAATTTTACCGAACGTTACATTTGGGTGGGATGAAGTGCCTAAACCAAGAGGGACGGGGACTTATTTTCCTAACACGGTATGTATTTAGTATTCATCTGAAATATATGTATTGGTTTGGTATAATTTATTTAAAACAACACCCTTTAATTTTATTCTAATATTTCAAAAATTTTGCAGAATCAACTCCCTCAGCCTCAAGCCTATAGCCATAGGCCTTCAACAGCTATGATCAGTAGGAACCAAAACCAGAATCAACTCGCTCAATGTTATAAGCCAATTCGTAACAATGAGCCGAACATGATATTTACAGAGCCGAATATGTTAGAAGGGAGCAGCCATGAAGTATCATCACAATATTCTTCTCGTCCCAATTCAAATAACAGCTTGTCCGAACCTATGATTTTGTCTGGGATTCA